ATTGGTGAACATTGGCCCCCTGTTTCTCTCGACTCTCCCGCTGGCTATATATTTTTAATCGCAATCAACGAGAGCGGAATTGCCCCTGAGCAAATTACTTAAAAGAAATCGCCGCATAACAAGAGAGCACGCCAGAAATATTTGTGTAAATTTATACTAACCTTTTAATTACATGTAAATGTTTTCAATTTTCATTGGGCACCATTTTGAATGTTGAAAGCGGTATATATTATTAGCTTATCGCAGGCGCAATAATTTATGTTCATCTTTGACATTAATTTATGTTACACGATGATACTCCGAAGGGCGACCGAGAAAGATCCGAAATTTAAAATAAGGCGGAGAAATAATAAAAAATAAAGAGGGGAGTGAAACGGCCGAACACGTGATGGGGTATTGGCCAATGACAATGCGTATATCCAATTTCGTTATCTGGCCATGCTCGTTGACCAAGAACTGTCGAATCTGAAATATATCAAAACTTGTATTGATTTGCATCGTTGCTTGCCAGCAGTGAATTTTCGACAGCAGAGAAACAAAAACATTTGCGAATGCTGGACACAAAATACAGTATTAATAATTCATGAAGGAAATTCAAAAGAAATGAATGTTTAATCAATGTATGTAAATCGATCGGATAAAAGATTTGTAAATTGTCCTCATTTACATAAACTTCAGCTTCGATTTTCTCGGCTTAGACAATGTTTATTTTTAAAATTACTTCGCCAATGAACTCATATGATGGGTCGTCTTTTAAGCTCGTTAAAACACGAGCAGCCGATGTTTATCTGATATACAAACTCTCGCCATTGTCCCCAATTTTAATAATATATTCTAATGTGACTCGCTTGAACTAAATTATAGTAGGTCAAATATAAAACAACGGTAAATCCGAAAATAATAAAAAAAAATTATTTTCGGAGTTACCGTTGTTCTATATTATATTAAAATACTCAGTGGTTCCCGTAATAGTAGGTCTCATTTTGTTTCCGGTTTGTTCCTAGCAACATCAAATGTTCCTAGCAACAGTCAACCAGCATCAGTGGATAATATTTCGGCCGTTTCACTCCCCTCTTTATTTTTTATTTTTTCTCCGCCTTATTTTAAAGTTCGGATCTTTCTCGGTCGCCCTTCGGAGTATCATCGTGTAACATAAATTAATGTCACAGATAACATAAATTATCGCGCCTGCGATAAGCTAATAATATATACCTCTTTCAACATTCAAAATGGCGCCCGATGAAAACATTTACATGTAATTAAAAGGTTAGTATAAATTTACACAAATAATTCTGGCGTGCTCCCTTGAGGGTACGTGCTATAAAACTCGCAATACATCTTGAACTTTCTAATTGTATACCTTGGCGTCGTGCACATCAAAATCCGTGGAAACATTCAGTTGGAAACATCCGTGGAAACATCCGTGAAAATAGAGGCATGTCATGCATTTTACAACCTCTTAAACTGTATGAGTCCCTATTTTTACGCTTATACCTAAGATATCAAATAAAAGTACATGAAACAGAGAACATTTGTAGAAAGTTTTATCGTGAGGCCACGGCCAGTTTTTAAAATATCTTTATTTCTGTTCTGGTCATCACCAAAATTACACAAAAGCCGGACTTGAATATACAACAAATTTTGAATCGCATCAAGCACAAAAATACTTAACGTGTAACCAAAATATGCTCATGAAATCGAAATTAATAGCTAAATGTTCAAACTAGACCCTTCTCGAAGCGGTTTTCATGAAGGAAGTTCACATTTCGGCCTTTGATTCTTGGCAAAAATTTGACAACAACACGTGCGAAGCAACTGGGTCTCAAAGACTGAACTAAAACATTGTGAGCCCCTATTTTCCTGACGATATGTTTGATACCTACAAACGCCGAAAACTTTTTTCTTTTCATTTAGCTATATTTGAATTTGAGGCCACGGGCTATTTTTGAGAAAGTACAGTTCAAAGTCAAGCTATTTTTACATTTTTTTTAAAATTTGTCAAATTTCGCGAGCTTGTATGTTGAACTTAGACAGCTGAAGTTACATTAAGAAACATAGGATGGAAAATTTGAGGCATATAAAGTTAATTTCAACTTACATTTCATTCTCAAATCACGTCTTTCTTCGTTTATTACGGTTTTAAACAAGCCATAGATCGACGTATACGGTATTTGCTCCCATGTTCACGTCGCCATATGAACTTCTTCCAATCACTCGATTACAAAACAATCATCCCAAAACAAAGAATTCAAGATCGACTTTTAAAAGAATAACCAATAATTTGCAAATCGTTGAATGGAAAGCAAAAAATCGTCAGCTAAAACAGCTTCTTGCTAACTTTCTGCTTTGTTTTGAATGTAAATGCAATGATCTTTGTTTCTGCCCGCAATTTTTTGGTCAGCGACGACAAATTTCCCACCTGTTTACACAACCCATATATCCTTCTCTTCCCGTGATAGCTTATACTTGTTAATATTGAAGTATATTTCGGTTCTTTCGGCAGTTTTAATTGAAATTTTTCAGCATAATCAGCAATACGATACCTTACTTCCCATCTCCCTTGCTTGCATGAATTAAAAGCTGGTATTGCCTGTTGTCCCGTGGGACATCACAAAAACCTTTTTCGCGTTTAACACTTTAATTTAACGTCATTGGGGAAAAGGTGTATTGGTCAGGGCATCGAAGTAAAAGATTCTTAATTTGTGATCTTTGCATCTCATTTCGGTCCATTTTCGTCCCCAAAGCCATTTTCACTCGGTCACTCATTGAAAATTAGGCTCTGGGTTAGATAACTAAAGGGAGAGATTTGATTGGCTTCTCAGAGAACTGCTATTTCGCAGAAGTTGAGCAGTTTTCGGTAGGCAAATTTATCCTGTCAATATGTCAACACTGAAATACTTTGTTTTTTTCGTAGTTCACTTTGAACATTGTTACGGGTGCTAAAGCATCCCAATTCAAGAGCATGCGCTTTAGAAACTGCTGCAAGTTTTCTTGCACTTCCGGTTCCGTGTGTCCCAGGGACTGGGGAAACGCGCGCGGCCGAGAGACCCTGGGGACGAGGATGATCTTGGCCGGTCATTTTTACTCTGGTAGTCCGGAGTTGCTCTGTTTCGGACGCCGCCCAAACTTTTCATGTACTGTTTACATCATATATTGAAATTTTACGATTTAACACAAATACGTTTGTCAGTTTGGGTCGTCGAGTCAGTAGGTTTGCCTAAGTTCGAATTTAGTCCGGCGACTGAAAAGGTGCCACGTGCCATTCATAAACGCTGCGACGTTGTTTCTTTGGAATTTGATATGTCGGGCTCAAGAAGGAACGCACATTAGAAAACTGCCAAATTAAACTCAGAAACAACCTGGGCGCTGCTAACATGACGCTACACAGAAAAGGGAAAGTTTGATTGAAATATGAAAAAGAATACAGGTGGATGTGGATGGAGTTGAATAAAATGCATCTGTACTTGTGATTCTTAGATCGTGAAACAGACAACTGCACACATAATTACTGTATAAACTATTTTTTAAAGTAAATTAAGAGTAGCACATGTGCAATTGGCTACCTCCTCCGCAGGCCATACAGCCCGTAATGAGTATATGCCCGTTCGCAAGTTAAAATTTGAAATTTGAGACGAAGGGTTGCGTAGCCAATTGGTTTATGTCTGATGCATCCAAAGGTAGAGATCATGCATGTATGAACACTATTGCTTAAATTTTTACAACCATTTATTTTAAGTATAATAGTGTATTTGTTGGGTTGCTATGTACTGTTTAATAAACGAGCAGGAGTGTTTTATTAGATTTAGACTATTCAATAGATTTACTGCCTTATTAGTATTCTTTATATAAAGAATACTAATGAGGGCACGACTACAATAGATACTGCCTTATTAGTATTCTTTATATAAAGAATACTAATTAGGAGTGTTTTATCAGGTTTAAAGCCACTGCACGTGACATATTATGGTTGACATGATTTGCCAATAAGCTTATGAATTATTAATGAGTGTTTGAAGGTTATAGAATAAATTATTTCAGTGAATAGTAGCCTGCGTTAATGCTGGTTCTTTGAAGCCCAGATTCCACGAGCGCTTTTTGTCAGCGAAATGCGAATTATTTCGCCTGTTTCTTTTGAATTGTGAGCGATCAAGTAGAAATAATTTATTCGAGTGGTCGCAATTCAAAAGAAACAGGCGAAATATTTCGCATTTCGCTGACAAAAAAGCGCTCCTGGAATCAGGCCTTAACATCGATTGATTTGGTTTTCGATAACAAAGCGGTCACAATGAGCGGCCCTCTTTTATGTGGGATATAGTTTTGAAGGGAAGTATTCTCAACATTATCGAGGAAATCAAGAATCGATCGAATCGCCATGGCATCATGTTGATTCTGAAAGTGTGTACGACAAGCTTTGACATGTATCTGTCATATACAGTGAAAGAGCTGCTTTACTTTACAGCTGTAGACACGGAAATGCTTTGTGCTATATAGGAGAAAAACATGAAAACGAACACTGTCAATTTGATCGAGAAAAGCAAGAAATTGTTGATTTATTTTTTAATCAAACTAAAGAATTGTTTGTTCAATGTCAACATGATATTTGCATACAGGCGTATAAATTTTACGGTTCACTGAAGTCCTTGAATACTACATGGACAATAACATTACTAAACTGGACATCATTACATTATTAACAAATGTCCCAAGAAACACTGGCAACGACAGAATATTTTATGTTCAACGACATCAACGACAATTGGCTGAACCTATACTTTGCTCTGCCAAACCCAGGGAAGAAAGTTTTGGAGAGCCCAAAAAGTCAAACAAACCGGCAGTTCAGTTCCGTATTATTACAACTCAACTGCAACCCGCCGAATTACACTCATCTCATGGACGATTGAAACCAACCCAGGTCCTTCAACTTCTAAAGAGGAATCCAATCTCACTACAGCTAGCAAAATAAAGAGAAAGCCAGCGCCAAGATGTCAGTTTTGTGACAAGCCCTGTAAATGTAATCATATAATAATAATAATAATAATAATAATAATAATAATAATAATAATAATGGTATTTCAACAAAGGCTTTTGTGCGACAAATGTTTCGAATCAAGTCTTGTTCGCTGTGTCTCGCTCTCTAATCAGCTGTTCTTGCAGAGCAAAAACAAACTGCATTCGTGGACATGCCAATGATTTCTAATGTCTTTCCTACATTTTTACCGTGAACAAGACTTAGGCTATGTGCACACGGGCGTCGTTTTGCAGCGTTTTCAAAAACGTTTTTGTCCGTAAAATCGTTTTGACGCCGTATTCGCACAGCCCAAAGGAAAATATCTCGGATATATTAAATAAACTACAACTTCTGTCGTAAATTGATAGTGTTTGTATCCGTTTTAGCGTGAAAACACAAATGAAAACGCGCGAAAACGTTACTGTGTGCACATAGTCTTAGAGCATTGTTTTGGCGACACTGCAACCTCTGATGAAAATGATCTGTGCACTACAGCAACTGATCCACATTTGGAAGCTTTCGAGTCTCACCCAAAAGATCTGAAAGTCGTGCATCTAAACACCCAGAGCATGGTCTCTACTTTTGATGAACTCGTTCTTACCATAAAGGAATACCCTTTTGACGTCGTTACCATGTCCGAGACCTGGTTAAAGAACAATTCACTCTTATTACAACATGTTACTATACCAGGCTACAGTTGTGAATTTCGAAATCGTGAGTCGGTAAAGGGGGGTGGAGTTGGAGCGTATATTAAAGAGTCTGTAAAGTACAAGCGAAGGACTGATATTGAAGCCAAAGAACCAGACCTGGAACACCTATGGCTAGAGTTCTTAGGACGCAACAAGAACAACAAGTTACTGTTAGGAATCATGTATCGTTCAAATAAAATTCTTACACCAACAACTTGGCTTGACAGTGTCGAGAATTTATTTAGTTATTTAACTACATCCTGGAATGGCCAGCTTCTTGTTACAGGCGACATGAACATAGACCTCATGCCCACGCCATTGAGCAAACAGTACCTTGATATGCTTCTGTCTTTAAACCTTCACCAGCATGTAGGAAAGCCCACAAGAACCACTAATAGGTCTTCTACACGCATTGACCACATTATCTCCAACACTCCTGAACGGACTGCTTTCACGGATGTCCTTCCATGTCCTCTCCTCAGCGACCATGATGCAGTGTATGCTTGCATAAGCATTAAGGTAACACGTTTTCAACCAAGGTATAAATGTATAAGAGATGAACGCCACTTTGATGAATCAATATTTAGAGAAGATTTTTCTAAGTTACCTTTCAGCATCATCAATGCTTTTCCTGAAACGGAGGAAAAGCTTGACATTCTGAATTCTCTAATTACTGGTTGTATCGATCGTCACGCTTCACTTAAACGTGTGAATGTAACACGTCCACCGGCGCCTTGGATGAAGGATCCATCTATACAGCTACTCCAGGAACAAAGAAATGCTTTACGAGCAGCAGCCCGCAAGACTGGGGATAGCCAAACACGCGCTATTCTGCGTGAAACCCGCAATGAACTCAAGAAAAAGATTAGAACTGCAAAGAAATCCTTCATCCAGAAAGCCCTATCATCAAAGAAAACTAAGGCTGTGTGGAAGATTATTCGTCGCGTGCTTCATCGAAATCCTCAGCGAATCAACTTTGATCCCGATAAGTTGAACACTCATTTTGCCAGTACAGCCGAACGTATTGCCGGCATATCCTACGACGAAAATGACTCGCCTGAAAGTATCATCAACTTAATAGAATCACTGCCACCAAATTCCCCTGATGCGTGTGACATTAGACTCGTCCACCAAAATGAAGTCTTCCAAGAACTCCGCAACCTCCGAACCGACAGTTCAAGTGGTTCTGATCAAATTCCGGCCAAGCTGGTTAAAATGGTTGCAGAAGATCTGGCTCCACCATTGGCAAACATCAACTCCTGCATTGGTCTGCGATCATTCCCTGCTGCCTGGAAAATAGCACGAATCTGCTCCATCCCTAAAACGAACGTATCAGCGAGTGAGGACGACTTTCGACCCATATCCGTTCTTCCAGTTCTTTCGAAGGTTTATGAACGATTGATCTTCCGTCAGCTCGCCCAACACATCGATGAAAACAGTGCCCTGTATGACTCGGTATCAGCTTACCGTAAAGGCCAATCCACTATAACCGTACTGCAAGCGATTCGTGATGACATTCTTAAAGCTATGAAACGGGGAGAAGTGACAATGATGGTTTTAGCTGACTTTTCCAAAGCCTTTGACACTGTTCGTTTCGGAAAACTTATCACAAAGATGTACCAACTAGGATTGTCAAAAAATTTCCTTACCCTGATGCTTAATTACGTATCAGATAGAAAGCAATTCGTTTAAATTGATGACAATCAGTCCGATGTTATTGATGTTAAATTTGGCGTACCACAGGGGTCTATTCTTGGACCTATACTGTTCAACATGTACGTTAACGACCTTCAAGATCAGATAAATGCCAAATGTTATCAATATGCAGACGATACTACTATCTATCACCATTCTAAAGGCTCAGATCTTTCCAACTGTCAGGCTAGTATAACCAGTGCCATGCAAAACATGGGCCTTTGGTCACAGGCCAACAGTTTAACCCTAAATGGTCTCAAAACCCAAATGATGATATTCTCTACAGCGCAGTTAGGAAGAAAACACAACCTAGACAGTGTCCCTCTGGAAGTGTCTGTTAATAACACCGATATCCAACGTGTCGAGTGCTACAAACTACTTGGCATTCATCTCACCCAGCATCTTAAATGGGGCGAACATGTGAAAAATACTACAGCTTCCAGTTATGCTACAATTGCAGTATTGAGGAAGCTGAAACACCTGGCCCCGTATAATTTGCGTAAGACCTTGGCAGACTCACATGTGCTGTCGAAACTGGATTACGGTGATACAGTCTTCTATCCACTGACAAATGTAGATTTGAAGCGGCTCCAGAAATGCCGAAATGCCGCAGCAAGCTTCGTCCTAGGGAAATACATTAAAGATCGGGAAAATCTTGGAAAGGTCGGATGGCTCCCCATGAAGAAAAGAAGAGACTTGCACCTCCTGCAACAAACTTTTAAAGCAATTCATTTTTCTAACTGGCCTCAATATCTAAGTTTAGAACAGTCCGTAAACGAAAGAAACCTCCGGTCGCAAGGCGGCGTTCGTTTAAAAGTACCATTAGAGAACAAAAATTTTCAGGATAACGCCTCAAAACTTTTTAATTCTTTGCCAATTCACATTAGAAACTGCAAGGATGATAACATTTTTACTAAATTAACAAAAGATTTTTTAACCGAACAGAAGTAATTAATCTTATAAATTTTATATATTGTTAGTGTCGGATAATATACAGCATAGTTAGGGTTGGATAATTTAATAGGTTGGATAATTAAATAGGGTTGGATAATTTATATATATTGTCAGGATTGGATAATTTTAAGTATGTTTGTAGAGGAAGAGCCATTTTTATGGATTCTGCAATAAAGTCATTATTATTATTATTACAATAAATTTCGGACATGGCTTGAGATACCACCAAACGGCACCCTTGACATATTGCTTCTTGGGAAATCCAAATTCGGTTTCGACATCATTGATGTATAAACAAAATTCACTGAATGTCAAGTAATTTTGCGAAATAAATTAAAAGACTCGAGTTGTCTAGACACCCAAAACCTTTTCTACGCATCTAGCTCAAACTGTAATGTGCAGTACGATGGTTTCTCCACCGCAAAACAGGTTGCCAAAGAAATTAGGAAAGATAAGATCTTTAAAATTGAAAGCAAGCTAACGTCTTATAATTAAGTCGATTTGGAGAGATGCTTTCCAGGGTACAGCGAAAGATTGGCACTCGGCAGTTGACAAACTCCCTAAAAACATATACAATTTCGTAACCAGATATTTAAATAACACCCTACCTACATTAACAAACATGGTTTTGTGGAAGAAAGCTCAAAATTATCTGTGTCATTTCTGCTTGAATGTGCAAACACTACAACATATAGTGTCTTCTTGCAAAACATCCCTGGACGAAGGTCGATACACATAGAGACACAATTCAGTGCTGAAACACCTAGCAACGTACATATCTAGTGTCAGAAGGGACTTTCACGTTTATGCAGACATTTCTGGTTTTGATAATCCATCTGTGATCACAGGCTGTAATGACCGACCAGACTTGGTAATATCAGACAACAACCAAAATATATATGTTATTGAATTGACAATCGGCTTTGAAACTAATATGGCAAAAAACTGTTTAAAGTGCCACTGTGACCAAATTTTCATTTCTGTTTTTTTTCCATGATTGTGAAGAATGCGTATAAAGAAGCTGTCACGCAAAATTTTAGCGTGATATCTTATAAATGGCCTGAGTTATACGACGATGAAGTTCGAATTTTGGCAGCCGCCATTAAAATCCGCCATATTGGAAAGTTCAAGTGTTCGGCAGTCTTTGACGTCATAGTCTCAACACATGCTGGGCATGCAACATAAAAATATATACGCGACTATAGTAAAACTCGATCATGCCTTCGTCGCGTTGTGTTGTACAAGATTGCAGCAATACTTCTGACAAAAACGCGGGTAGATCATTGCATAAGAGCCCAAATGACGAATCTTTGAGAAGAATATCGGTTAGATTTGTGCAAACTAAGCACGCCAATTTTTATCCAAGCTCGCGGGAAATTGGATTCATGATTTGTTTGGACCATTTTTCAACGGATTGTTTTACTGTCGTTCCAATTGAAGTGTTGCTCAAATATTGATTCAATACATTACCTCGGGCTGACCAATTCATTTGATCAAGTTCCCCGAGATATTCATACACTTCCTGTGAAAGAGCCAATTCCAAGTATTTGATCATTTCTGGTCACTTCCTTTCTATTTATGATTGGTTAGTTGCACAAACAACAAAGGTGATTGGTGCATTCAAACTATTCAACAGGAAGTTTACAATTATACTAGGAAGTGTATGAATATTTCGAGGAACTTGATGAAATGAATTGGTCAGCCCGAGGTAATGTATTGAATCAATATTTGAGCAACACTTCAATTGGAACGGCAGTAAGCGTTTATTTCATTTGGATGGTTTGCAAAGACGAATCAAACCAGATTCTGTGCCTACTATTTGGAGGAAAGCGCCTGCGCAACTAACAACAAGAGACAGGCGTAAGGTTTAGTCAGATATGAATATATTTTAGCTACATACATATTTACATAAGTCCAGATCAACTATAAATTCACGCGACAAGTGTTGTTCTCATATTATTGAAAATAGGTTTAAATTTTAAACGAGTTGGGCGAAACTGCAAACAAGACTGATACAAACGAGGATGAACCATCGAGCTGTTTTTTCAAACTCCGTGTAAGCTCGCTGATCAGTGTTCGGGAATGTTGATCATATTTTATTGTAACAACAACACGGTAATGTGAGATGCCTTGAACTGCCCGTAAAATCTCATACCAAACCACGAGCTGTTCTGTAGAAAACTGCGCGTAAGAACCTATAAAATATATAATATTAAATAAATAGGCGCGCACAATATGTTAATGCTTGTTTAATAACAACATCGGCATAGTAGGCATACTTCAGGTTGGCAGCAATGACCACATTTACACTTTATAAAAAATGCAAAATAGAAGTTCAGAGATACGTTTTAATTTATTACTCCGGCATATAAGAACACAAACTTACCAAGACGATACATCAACATGCATGGCCTTCAAAACGATTTTGTAACATATTTTCGAGCTGTTCGTCTTCTGCTACAGCTTCGTCGACCTCGTACTCGGCTACCTCTTCAGGCGAGGCAAGCGGCTCCAGCAATAGTCAGCAATAGTATCATCAAAATGATCAAATGGCAAAAATTCATTGTCAAGTTCGCTTGAATTCGCTGTTATATATTAAACAGATGAGATGCGGGAGAATCTGTTTCAGACAAATACTCCAAAACGCTACTAGATCGCGACGAAACTGACATTTTAGTTCTTGAAATACATGCGATGCTCCACGTTTGCTTACTAATTCTACTTGTGCCCTTGCGGTGTGTTGAGACTATGACGTCAGAAGCCTCTCGTGACAACAAAAAATCAAGATGGCGGATTTTAATGGCGGACAGCGATTTTGGACATTTCAAATGCTCGTAACTCCGTGGTTGTTAATCATGTTCGCCTGAAATTTTACACAAGCATTTTTGGTGCAATAATAAAGTCGTTGCTAGCAAAAAAGGGAATTTTCGCGATGACGAATTTTCGTCACAGTAGCACTTTAAGACACTACCTTTCAGGGAGTAAGGCCCGATATTGCAGAATATACACTTTATATCTATTGTGTAAATAGTGTATATATATATACAGAATAGCCTGTATATTGCGTATATGTATACACTATAGACATGTAGGATATATTGTGTATATTCTGCAGCCTATATAAATAGTCACAATAGACACTGTATGGTCAAAAGTGTATAAAGTGTATATAGTGAGTGTTTGAGCGAATGTCCAAGAGTATATAGTGTATATAGTGTATAAAGTGTCTATATATACACAATATACGTATATTATCAGTATATAGTCAAAAGTGTATAAAGTGTATATAGTGAGTGTTTGAGGGAATGTCCAAGAGTATATAGTGTATATAGTGTATAAAGTGTCTATATATACACAATATACGTATATTATCAGTATATAGTCAAAAGTGTATAAAGTGTATATAGTGAGTGTTTGTGTGAATGTCCAAGAGTATATATAGTGTATATTGTGTATAAAGTGTCTATATATACACAATATACGTATATTATCAGTATATAGTCAAAAGTGTATAAAGTGTATATATAGTGAGTGTTTGTGTGAATGTCCAAGAGTATATATAGTGTATATTGTGTATATAGTGTCTATATATACACAATATACGTATATTATCAGTATATAGTCAAACGTGTATAAAGTGTATATAGTGAGTGTTTGAGTGAATGTCCAAGAGTATATAGTGTATATTGTGTATATAGTGTCTATATATACACAATATACGTATATTATCAGTATATAGTCAAACGTGTATAAAGTGTATATAGTGAGTGTTTGAGTGAATGTCCAAGAGTATATAGTGTATATTGTGTATAAAGTGTCTATATATACGCAATATACGTATATTATCAGTATATAGTGCAGTATATACATGCAGTAGTGAGTGTTTGAGTGTATATTGTGTAGTCAAAAGTGTATATATTTATATAGTGACAATATGTGTCATGGAAGGAAGTGGGATTTTCTAAGAACAAGGAAACATATTTGCCTTTATGACTTTAGTTATGTATCATGCATATATAACTGTGCATGTAGCACTGAATGTATAAAGCGGGATTTTTTTAAGAACGAGTAAACTGAGGAAACATATATGCCTTGATGACTTATGTATCGTGTGACTATGTGTCACTGATTGTACTATAAAGCGGGATTCTTTTAAGAACGAGAAAACATGCCCATTATCACTTCTACTTATAAAATTAAAATATAACCATAGGCTATAAGACCGCGGTTTGAGTGTAAGAACGGGGAAACATAATTATTTGCCTTTATGACTTCAGTTATGTATTATGCATATGACTATATATGCATGTGTCACTGAATGGTATAAAGCGGGATTTTTTTAAGAACGAGGAAACATATATATAGCCTTGACGACTTATGTATCATATGACTGTGTCACTGATTGTATATATAAAGCGGGATTCTTTTAAGAACGAGAAAACGTGCCTTTATGACTTCCACTTATAAATATAACCATAGGCATAGGCTATAAGACCAGTTTCAGTGAAAAATGTGTAATGGAATATTTACATGATTACAGAACAACGTTTCATATCTGCATGCATTAGTATTTACAAATTACAATTACAATAGCGGTATTTAATCACTAAGATACCAGTATCTGTTAAAATATATATATATGTAGATATTAATGAATAATCTAGTTGTAAGCAAGTAAGGTGTCGCTTTTTTATCATACTGATATTGGTATCTTAGAGATACATGTTGCCGGTAAATAAGCTTAATTCTCTGGACTATATAGTTTAATGGTTTATATAACAAACTGTATTTTCAGTTCTAACTTTAACCTAAAGAGTAAAGACTAATTAGTATATAAATGCATCTAAGATTGAGTTTTTGCATGCATGCAACTATGTTTGTAAATTGTATGGTGTTCATATATGATTGTATTATTGATTGAATTTTTCCAAGTCAACCTTCAATCGTTTTAGAATATTTTTCTGCTCTTCGTCTAGATCGTCGATTTTTCTCTTGACAAGGGTTTTCTTCTCTCGTTTTTGTTTTCCTGCTTGGTACTCAGCAGTGACAATTTCGCCAAGTTTGAGCTGTAAAACGTGTTCCATTAACGCTTCTGCTTCTTCTTTCCTATATTTATTGTCTACTCTTTTTTGTATATGACGTTGAGTAATATGTGTCACGGATATAGGGGATGGTAGCTCAAGTAGCCGTTTTACTCTGTGCTTGTCAATCTCCTGTGGCTGACAGTTGTCAGTGTTAGTGGTATTGGCAGGTGGCGGTTTAAAAGCGGGTTTCCCGAGGGCAAATTTCTGAGCAATGCAGAATTCGATCAGATGGATAGCCCGTTCCATGAATTCACGCGGAATTTCAAACAACCAGGATGGTTGATCGTCCGTTTCCTTTATGACCAATGCCAATGCTTGATCAAGAGCAAACAAGACGGCGGCAAGACGAGCGACCTGTCCTTTTGCTTTAGACAGAATACTTTTCCGGTCTTTGTCGCGTCGATGCTGGTTTCTCTTTCTTTCATTTAGTTGGTCATGGAATGACACAAATTCTTCATGCGCGTCGTTAGACAACGTGTAGTTGTGGTTGGATGAGCTGTGGTTTTCATCTATTGCTCGAAATAAATCTTTTAGATCAGGTGTTCCTTCCGGCGGTTGAATGATGTCGTCGTAGTCTACGTCCTGTTCGGGGGGGCACACGAAAAGTTGACGATCACAGAAGCCATCGTAATCATTGCTATGCAGGAGATTAACAATAACATCAGGTTGAACGAAACCGGCGATGTTGAAATGGGTGCATGGGACGATGCTGTTGGAGGTTCTAAAATTTCTTCGCCATGGGCTGCCGTTTATTAACGAAAGGAATGTCTTTCGATCAGAGTTTCCGCTTTTATATTTATCTAGTTGTTCATACAACAGGGAAATCTCGTCGTAAAGGCCAACAACTCTTCCGTCATTCCTCTTCAATGTGTAATGAAGCTCTTCCATAGAAAAATGTTCAATGTAAATTTGCCGCGAATGATTTTCCTCATCATCATCATTTCTAGCATCGTCAGCGTCATTCAGATCGACCTCCAACTGTTGTATTGGCTTTACAAACCTGTTCAGTGCGGGTGATTTCTTCTGACCTTTGTCAGCCAGAACGACATTCCAGAGTATGAGTGGTTCTAGCCAGTCCTTGTTAATCATAACTCGAGTAGAAGGTCCTGTGAAGTGGGCAGCAATGGAAAGTAATGGGAAAAATATGAACTCCGACGGACTTCCAATGGCATTTGCGTGTGCTGTTATAAGTTTGTTGAGTGGACCAGTTGCTACCTTCGACATATCGAGGGAAATTGCTTGTGCGGCGAAGACATGAGCATCGATTTGAGCAAGGGAGAGCGATGTTGTATGAGACATGTTTAGCTCAACGATATCAGAGTTGAATAATAGGAAAACGTGCATGAAAGTGTAATAATAAACGCGAATAACAGGATCTGATATTTGGCACCTGTCATGCCAGAATGATTAATGATGTTAGCAGTTGAATAAGTTTTATAGTGAATAGGTAACTGTATCTCATATTAAATTTGATTTTATGAATAAGATTTAGGCTTGCAATAAAAGTAGGAAATCGTATAAAACGAATTTGTTCGTTTGTAATGAACATCAGTTAGCAGTTTTGTCACTTTTGTGTTACTCTGCATCTGGCTGTCGCTATATTCTAGTATGGCAAGAGCGCACACGAGAATTTTTTGTCCAATATAACTTTTCACACTTGAATAACTATATTCATGCCTATACAACTACTATTTGTTGAACATTAACATCAACTTAGTGCACACTTGTATAAATTTCAGACAGCATTTCACACTTGCACACCTAATTAAGTTTTAGTCTTGCACACCCGAGAAAATTGCCATACTCTGTACAAGTCTGCAGCCATCATTTCACTCATTTGTGTTTATAAATATTTTAATAGGTGTGACAAACACTGTGTAATAGATTGCAAACTAAATTGTGTCTAAAATTATTAAAAAATATTACTTCCGTTTTGTGCGTTGTTACTTAGATATACGAAGATTTTTATAAACCTGCAGCATGCAGGGGGTGAAATATCAGTTTTGAGTAATGGTTATTTGCCGTGGTCTAAGCTACAATGTGACACCGAGTTATTTAAAAATACTAGAAAGGATTCCAAAAAATTGATTACGAATATAGCATAAAAAGCTGAAATTTACGAGATTTAAATGTTAATACATATTAGCCTCTTATTTTTAAAATATACTTCTATACGCATGCATGTAATTGGACTAGACTGATATGTTCAGGTGTCATTGAAATAAAAGAATTTCGCGCAATGTTATAGTTTGGCATAATATTAAAGTTTGATTAAAATGTGTATGGCATAATGAGACATAATAAAGTTTGATATAACAGTTCAGTATAGTAAGAAAAGTCTTAAAAGATGTGTGCCTTGGTAACAAAAATCGACGAGCTTAATGCATTTATATTTGGCACTAAGCATTTCCGCGAAGGAACACCATCTCGATGGGAATTAATAGCTGAATTTGTGAAGAGTCAGACAAATAATCCGGGCGAAGATATACCAACTGTGTGTCTCGGTGAGCGAGAAAGCGTTACAAAAAAGTATGTAGATTTGAAGAAGAAAGAAGACTGCCGAATGATGAGCACATTTTTAGCCAAAAATTACCCATTTTTGTTATCGAACGAGTTTAATGTTAGTCGGCTGAACGTCAGTGGAAGAACGGCAAACAAAACAGTTATTCTCCTGCCCCCTGTGTTAAATTGTTGTGGTAAGCGAACTAAAATGGACAGCCGACCGTCATTTCCTTTCGTATACAGTGTGAATGGGACGTATGTAGGAGCGCTATTCCATGGTCAATGCACTGGTTGCAAAACGACATTTTATCCGAGCTATAAAACAATGGACAACAAGCGTGTGTACTATAATCCATGCAATGAAAGCATGCAATATTTTCAAGTAACGTCACAAACAGTGTTTGATAAACAGTTATTAGAAGATATTTCAAATAACATATGGGTGAGTGGGTGTACATTCCAATCGCGTGCCAAAGTGTATAACGCTAATTTCGCGCAAAAGAATAACCAGAGACTAACAGATATGAAAGAATTTGCTAGAACGAAAGATGCGGAGTGGTTGTTAAACGAAGATCGCGTAAATGATGCCTGGTTTATGTGGATAGTCGTAAATTATTTCCATGAGAAAGGCGAACTTGAGCGGACACACTTAGATGTTAAGTATGATGAAAAAAGTAAACATCTGAATACGGAAGAACTGTGTGAGTTGGTATGGAAAGATATATGCTGTTCTCGGAAAAAGTGGGTAAGGCACAAATGTAAAACTAAAGGATGCGCAGAAGGTTATGTTACAGTGGATGGAAACGAGTACCTCAAACGTGCAAAATGTGCTCTGCCAAAGGAAAAAGTGAGATTACGTCGTGATCTTCCTGAAGTATTTAGATGTTGTACGAACAGTCCAATATGCGGCGGCAAGAGCGAAGCTCCTTCAAAGTTCTGTAGAGTCCATGCGACGCATGAGTCGGAGGAAGTTTGCGATCAGGTGGATATGCCTATAGAATTTAATTCGGCTGCTGAACGAGACTCGTGTGTTGTTGAAGAAAACGATGAGAGAGACGAAGGATGCAAGAAAAAGGAGAATATATCGCTGTTTTTCGAAACAACAGCCGGCATGCTTGCCCTTATACGCCCATGTGGTATTGTGGTAAATATGACGGAGATGTTTACTTGTGAATCACTAACACAAGTATTCCTTTTCCTACTAAGAACCTTTTGTGATAATACCGAGGATTTTGAAAGATTAAAGTTTGTTGGTTACGACCGCGCTTGTGGGCTAGTCCCTTTCTTGAAGAACCAACGTCGAAATGGCAGTGCTGGGGCAAAGATATTATTGGAAAATGTGAAATTCTAGGTGGACATTTTCCATGTATCAAAACATACGGAAGAAGTGTGTATGCCTCCAAATAATCCTAAGTGTAAATACCATCCATTTTTACCGGGATTTGATGCTATCAGAGGCACGAATACAGAATCCTGTGAGCAAGGTTTCCGTATTGAATGAGTATTTTAAGCTGACAAGCCGATGTTACAATTTAAGCGTAACGTTTTGTTTTGGTTTGTAAATGAGCGATTTAACAATGATTTAGAATGTGAACTAAGACGTAAAGACCTAATGTAATATACCTGGGAATAGTTATCACTATAGAACTCTAGAAGTGCTCCGCCGTTTGATTCTATTTATTGCGGAAAAATGATAATTAACGTGTTCAGCTTAAACTGTGGATAAACCAAAACTAAATAACACTTTTTCACATTTTGTGAATAAGTGATCTTAAATAGTTAAATGCTCTTATCATAAATAGGTAGTTGCAAACATAATTGTTCTGTTGTTATATTATACCTTTACCACAGTTTGTGTATATTTTGTATGTATATATATACACTATATACGCAATATACACAATATACACTATATATAGACTATAGCAAGTTGATAAAAGCGAGAATATACAGTACATACAGTTTTGAGTATATATAGACCTGTATATTGTGTATATTTTGTATATATATATATATATATATATATATATATATATATATATATATATATATATATATATATATATATATATATATATATATATATACACTATATACACACTATACACAATATAGGATATTAGACTAGCAAGTTGATAAAAGCGAGAATATACAGTATATACAGCTTTGACTATATAGACCTGAGCTGACCTGTATATTGTGTATATTTTGTATATATACACTATATACACAATATACACTATATATAGACTAGCAAGTTGATAAAAGCGAGAATACACAGTATATACAGTTTTGACTATATAGACCTGTATATTGTGTATATTTTGTATATATATACACTATATACACAATATACACAATATACACTATATACTAGCAAGTTGATAAAAGCGAGAATATACAGCATATACAGTTTTGAGTATATAGACCTGTATATTGTGTATATTTTGTATATATATATATACACTATATACACAACTAATATACACAATATACACTATATATAGACTAGCAAGTTGATAGTAAAAGCGAGAATATACAGTATATACAGTTTTGACTATATAAACATGTATATTGTCAACTGTGTATAGTAGATGAGTATATACTTTAAAGTATATGTATACACAATATACACTGTATACTGGTGGAGTATATTGTGTATATTCTGCAATACCGCGGCTTAGTGGAGTCTTTCAGGTCAGTGTAACAAGACGCTCTGTAGAGCGTTAACTCGCTGGGGCTATACAAATACGCACATTAATGTTGTTCCCGAACAAAGCGGAAAAGTCGAATACGAACGCAAAAGGCTTTTTAACACAGTACTAAAATGCGGTGCTCTACAATTCAAATAAAACTTCCGGCGTTCCGTCTGCAAGTAAAGTTATATTTAGTACGCTATAATCTATATACATTCTTTTGTCGGCCGCCATTAGTCCGTACGCAAGGATTAAACTGCGCTTTAAAACGTTCAAAGGAAAATATTGGGCTTTTGGGCTCAAAATACTATCAAGATGAAGAGAGAAGTGAGACGAATCCACTGGTATATGGCCGAAAAACAACGATACCAGAGTTATCAAGGATCAAACGCACTGCATTTTTAATTAGTTTAATAATTTTGAGCGATTTATCAACAATACAATTTCGCTTGGCTTTCAAAGACAAAGGCCGTAAATCGCTAGAATACTGTTGTTTATATACTGTAGTATAAATACATTTGACATCCGTAAGTACAATTTCTTACGCTGAATCGAACGGTGGTATTTTTATCCTTTATGTATTGCGCCATTAGGCATTTATACAAATACAATATCATGTTTCATACTACACTACAGCTTTCGCCTTTCCACAGCTACTAACTATAAGGGACTGTTGTTGGATAAATTTTATATTGATATGACACCAATATGCTTCTCATAAAGTATTTATCTATTATAAAACTACGTTGTGTAGTTTAAGTTATAACCTTTTACCTTGAAATATTTGTATTTGGCTCGTTTAGATTCAGATTCAGTATATCATGATCGTGCACGGGAATTTAACGATCCAAATTTCGGATTTTCAGAGTCGTGTACCAAGAAAAATGCATTAACTAAACTAGCAAGAATGTCCAGAGTTAGACACAATGCAAAATCCATAGAAAACAGGTACCATTCGTTGAAAATTTTAACGAAATTGTTTGAAACATTTGCCCACTCCACGAAATTGTTTGAAACATTTTTACTTGCTGCTGTTTCCATGTCGAAATTCCTTGTAAAATTGTTCAATTTCTCCGAATTTTCCTCAAAATGGAGGGCTATTTATGGATAATTTAGGGAAAATTAGGCAGCTCATTAATATTCTATTTTGTGGCTATCGACGATGGAGATCCATGATCCGTGATCCGTGAAAAATGCAAGCCGAAACCTATACTCGTCCGGGGCACAGGGTGCCCCAGCGAGTAATTATCTATTGCTTGAAACAAAAAAATGTAAACAAAACACGCGCATGAGCAGAACGGACTTGACAGCCTCTTTAATATAATATTTAATCTGAAACGCTTCGTAAATATTATTTGGTTTTATGTTACGCCAGCAAAGTGTACTAGCTAAAATTTAACTAAAATATAAAACAAAAAACTCTAAAATCCCAAGCTTTCGGACAACGCGTCTGTTTGTACTTAATTAAGTTGTTGAGTAATTTCTGTTCGGTCTTCAAATTAATTTTCTCTGCTTTACATTTTACCTCTTTTTCTTGTATTAAATTAAACACGGTAACTTCCAAAATCTACCGCTTCGTTCAAAAGAAAAGCAGTGCAAGTTTTAGGCATAAAATTAGAGTAACAAAATCCATAAACGTTGAAAATTCAAAGCAAAGTTGCCCAATATTATATTATATGATTTCCCATAGTAAATCAATTCTTCTCATTACTTGATCTGCAAACACAGATTTCTCATTGTAGTACGATATATTTGTTTTTGAAAATTGAAATCTGGCAAGCAGCATATTTTGGAGATCGGTGAGGAGGTCCACCCATAAACCTTGCACAAAATAAATCAATTGAAAATAAATGAATGATATTTGGTGAGAAAATCGAAATTCAAATTTATGCAAATCAGTATGATTCTATATCAGATATACAAACTCCTCCACAAGCACAATGTATATCTGATATAGAATTATGCTCATTTACATAAATTTGAAGTTCGATTTTCTCACCAAATATATATCGTTCATTTATTTTAAATTGTTGAAGAATACGAAAATTCTCATCAAGACGTTTCACAAGCTATTTCACGTTCTTGTTCACGGCCACTCGTGTTGTATTAAATAGTACTTACAATTCACTGCAGAACCAAAACAAATGCCACGAAAACTTGAGTAAAATAATGCACACTGCACAGTAACTCAAAGTATTGAGTAAAATTGCTCGAATTTATGAGCATATTTATGGCTTCCTTGCATATATTAAACCACAATCGGGAAACTGTTGTCAGGTTCAGCTTGGTTTTCTGTGCTGCCGAAACTGCCAGAAAATTATTAATTAATAACTATATAACATTTAACACAGAAAAGGTGGATGTATTTTATGGCCCGCTTCATCACTGATAAATACCGAACCTTCCAATCACGTCACTATACTTAAATTAACTTGCGCGCGCAAATAACCTATTTCGCATAATTAATTTCAACTAAAAATTATTCCGGGAAGCAATAAAAACTCTTATCGCTGTGGTAATATGTTCCTTTATTAATTTGTTTTAGTATAAGGTAAGTTTTTCTTCAAAAAATGAAGTAACTTTGAAACTTCATTAAAAAAATTGAGTAAATTTGCTCATACATATGTTTTATTTTACTAGATTTTGAGTCAAATAATCAGGAATTTTTGCAGAGAAGGCATCATGGACTACTTTCAATTGGGATCCCCGTGGATCTGGTTTATTGAAAACGTGCAAATTTATCAAACCTAAACACAGAGCATGCGCTTCTTTCCATTTTCTCAAAACAGTTTCTGATATATTGGAATTAATAAAATTGCTCATTTTTGCAGATTTTGAATGACAGTGTTTTGCAGATTTTGAACAACAATAGTTTAATAGACTCGAAGATATTTAATCAAGGCATTTTACTAAATCATAATTACAAATTATATACCGTTCTCTGGATTTTAGATGAAAGTTTTTGAGCTTACGTTTTCTCTTCCAAAACTCCAAATTCATCCTCACTTACCCACTCCAATGATGATAATAATCACTCGCATTCCATAGTAGTCAATGACAGTCAACCTACTAAAATCATTAACCAATCAGACGTTCCCACAGACGTCAACAACAGCGCGAAAATTCAATCAATCCTTCTGGTGAAAACTCGACTTACCATGAAAGTTGAAAGCTCAAAAAACGTTTAACTGTAATCCAGAGAAGCTATAAAATTGGTAAATATTATAATTTATTATAATATAGCATTTGTAAATTCTGAACGCTGATTCGCTAAGAGCCGTGTTGATATAACTCAATGTCAACACGGAAACGTCGGGAAATTTATACTTTTCGACGGGAAACGTCGGGAAATTTCTCGTTTTCCCACTCGTGTTGACATAACTATACCGGTATATCAACACGGAAAATGTTTTATATTTGTTAAATATTTAACAGTTTATATGTATATAACAGTTTAATAATATAGCTTTTGGCAAATTAGAATGTGTATATTGTGAGATGTCCAGGTCCGATATCATATAGAGTACTTAAAATGTTAACGACAGCCGCATTCGTTGACTACAACATCGTTTAAAACATTCTTCCTGATAATTCCTTGTTTAAAGTAAAGAACGGAGAGCGGATTTGTCTTCGTTGGTACACAACAGGGACCGTTATGTGGACCGCCTTCACATCTACCTCGACAATAACCAGTTCGGTACCGAATTGGAACGAGAATATTCGATGCAATCTCTTTCAACATCACTGCCATTTTTTGCATGCAGCAGCGCGTTTCACCAGGAGTACATTGCAGAGGAGTTGGTGGAGGAATAGGTGATATTTCCAAATAAGGTGGATTCTGGATTTTGTCCTTTGAGAAAGAGCACTTTCGAGCTTTGACTCTGATGGTCAGTTGTGCCGTATCCACGGTTTTACATACTTCTTTTACGTTTCTCAAAACCCTCTCGGTTAGTTCGGAGACGTCAAATGAAATCCGTCTTTCATCGTTTGGGTCATAGTACTGCCCATGAAGAAGCCCATGGTAAGGTTTTTTCATTGCATCGACGCAATTTAAATTCTCTTTATCGCTGTTTGAGGAGTCAACCTTAACTTCAAAACGAAGAGGACATCCGTGCTTTCCGTTGAAAAGCATCAATTTGATCACAATTGGCCTCCCAATAATTTCAGCAGCTTTGACAATAAATTTCAGCGTGTTCTTCCTGTTGTTTGCTATAGAACAGAGGCAGTAATTTAGCGCACAAGTCGGATGAGTTAGACAAATGATGAATTATACAGGTAAATTATACAACATGGAAAATTTAGTTAATTAATAAATCATGTTTGCGATTGTGCATATTAATTAAACACAAAGAGAGAAACATAGGTACATTTACCGGAGATATATAATGTCAGGGTTTATATTAATTGGAATGAAACAAATGCTGCGGGACTTCTCAAACCTTCTCCGTAACCTTAGTATTTATGTATAACGCGACTGAATTGTGTTACCCCGAAAACGAGTGGGAAATTTCCTATACAGAAGAGGTGGAATACTTTTACCTCTCAAAACCCACCCTATTCGATTCAGTCGGTGCAGGTTTTGTGATGTTACACTTGTCAAAGTATTTATATCCAGATAAAGACTTTGATAAGACTAATCTGTTTATTCTCTTAATGAGTGTATAATGGCACTTGCCTCAAGCTTCATTATCCGGATAATAATTAACTGCATCCGTTCACTTGGAACTCATACTATTAAATAACGAACTTAAGGTTATACTACAAATCAGAAAATAAGGACTGGGTAGGATTTAAAGTCCAAGCAGTTTTATCCAAATCTTCTTTTAACCCAAATCCCCCGCAACCGCAATGTTGGCCCCTCCAACGAACCATGTTTCCCGCCTCTCCCCTCCCCCCTCCAGTGAAGGCCCCTTCTGTCTAAAATACAAGTAAAAAGGGAAGAATAACTTAGTTAACTAAGAAGAGTGTTACAGTATTCGGCTGACCAAAGGCCAAGCTTTGTCTAGCGGCTGAAATAAGTCAAAAATTGTGTCGAATCAAGCTATCGAATCAAGCCCCAGACCTGCTAAAAGATACCGGTACACTTCCCAGTACACCACCTCTAGTTAGGTCACTTTTTTAGTGATGACCTCCCCCACTGACAAATTTTTAAAAGAGGCCGTGGTTTGACCCATACTAATAACTCATTGCGGCAACTGAGGATTTTGTTTAAGTCCTAAGACTGAATTACTTTGATCCAGCCCTAGGCCTGAATTTATCTTGATTTAGTCCTATGTTGAATTAGTTTTGATCCAGTCCAAGGATTAAATTATTTTCTATCCAGTCCTAGGATTAATTTTAAATGAATTTTGATCCAGTACAGTGCTGAGATTGAATGAATTTTGATCCAGTCCTAGGACTGGGTCAATACACTTCACCATGCAGATATTCAGTACTTTCACGTGAGCGAAATAAAGTAATATGATTGCCTGTAATTTGAGACTGCAATTTGAAATATATGGCGCCTCGTATCCATATATGATCAGACTTTGTGATTGGCTGAAAATGTCAATTAAAGGGTAATGGCAATAAAATTTTTTATTGCTTTATCTGAAAGAGCATGAAAAAATAAGCCGATTGGCCGTTTACTGGTCTATTCTATCTCATCTGGTTCCGAAGTTATACGCAAAAATGTGCAAAATATAAATTGCTGATTCAGCACAACGTGTGACGTCATTGGTAGGGACACGTTGTGCTGAATCAGCAATTTATATTTTGCACATTTTTGCGTATAACTTCGGAACCAGATGAGATAGAATAGAGCAGTAAATCGGCTTATTTTTTCATGCTCTTTCAGATAAAGCAATAAAAAATGTTATTGCCATTACCCTTTAAAGAGATTAAACTAATAAAATCATCTTTGTAAAGAACGATTCGAGGATAACGATCACGTTTATTTCAGAAAACGTGTTCATATTAGGTATATATGAAAAATGACTTCAAAACAATCGAATGGACCCCAAAAGGACTCTTTCCAGGGTCAATTTCACTCTTTTGAATTTACAGATATACTAACAGTGTTTACCGGAATGTATAACAACTTATAATCTCAAAATCGGAACATTCTCCATAGAATGGGCTTAATTAATTTATCCAAGAATAAAATACTTTCATGACACAGTCAGTAATTGTTTTGCTGTAAATTAAATGTCCCGTTTTTATGTTTTCGCTTAAGGGATTAAATATTTCATCCTTTATGATCAGTTTAAATTATAGTTTGGAATGCGACTATGCAAGACAAATGTTATATGCAGTTGCATGGTTTAAATTTTGAAACGAAGGCGCAGAAAACTTCACTGCATGGCAATGGTATTTGGCGAAACGAAAGAAGATTTGACATTCGTCGGCTAACCTTGCTTTATAAAAAATCCTACTAACTTAGAATCCGAAGAATCAACGCAATCTAAACAACGTGAAATATTTGGCAAGTAGGCAATGACCTTTAAACTGTGCAATGGTGTTTACATTACGATCCACCACGGGATCCACTTAGGAACAGCACTTATGTCGTTAGTTATAGCTCCTTGTCCTTGAGAAATTTATTATTTAATTGGTAAAGAATACAAGTGACTTCTGCATGCCTGCTGGGCATGTCATGACATGCAGTTGAAACACTAGTTAGGGAAAAGTGGCTTATATTAGGGCATACTTCGAAACCCGGACTCGGACTCGGACCCGGACTCGAAGAAAATCCGGACTCGAGAAAAACCCGGACCCGGACTCGAAGAAAATCCGGACTCGTGTTTAACAAAACCCGGACTTGACTTCTGAAAACCCGGACTCGAAATAAGGCAAAACCGGATTCAAATCAAGGACTCTGTGTACGAAAATGCAAAGGTTTTTTGGAAAGGTTTAATAATTAGTAACACGATAAACGATGATCTTTTTATATCTTTATCTCGATATTTTTAATCTTCTGCTGTTAACAAAATAATCACTTAGATATACTGGAACCAAATCATTTAGGCACTTATAAGTTATTAAAAACTAAAATGAATTGATGCACAACGATCTACAAGTAGCTAGTACGAGGGTAGCATGTTGATTGTCGATTCTCAAAATAACGTTAACTTGATTTATTGTCAAACTTCATTGTCAGTATCGAGCCGCGGTTGTATGCAAGGCATATGGGGCAATTGATGAACGCATTGCCAACGCGAATTTCACTGTCGGCCGCGGGTGCAGGCTTGCAGCTGTTGCTTTCATTGTGATGTGTTTTCTACTACTTTCGGATAAAGAATAATTGCGGGTGTTCAATTCGTGTTTATGGACTTTATATTAACGAAATAGAGAAAATAAACGTGTTTCCAGTAGCGTCTTGTCCAACTATTTGAGAGCATGTTATAATATCAACTTTATGTCCATCCGCACAACAACGCTCGAATTACTTCACAGTCGGTATTTAGGCGCGGTTGCCACGATACCTTCATTGCTTTCAACATGAGATGTGCTTTTCCGGCGTTCTTTTCGATTGGTTGAAGTTATACTTTTGATTGGTTGAAGTCTAGTTATTTTTCGTGCCCTTGCCGCCATCGATCACGTTGAGTCTGCTATGCTGAGTCAGATTTCAGTTATTAATTTATGTCTAGGGTAGATTTAGCTACTCGCAGGAGTATTATTTTACAAATATGTTGTGTATGCATGGTCAGCGTGGTTAAATAAATTTTTAAATTAAGTAAGTAAGCAAGTATATGTATAAGGCTAAATGATTTGTTTAGGTAGGCTATATAGTGATTGTTTTGTGAGGAACCATATAGTATGATAACTGATTAGTATCCTCAGATAACGCATAACACTGAGCCACTAGAAGAAAATAATATCTATATCTTTCGAAACCAAAGCTTATTGCTTTTGAAATAAAGTATTTTATTATATACAAAAGCGAGAAGAGAAAGGGGCACCCGCGCAAGAGCACAAATCCATTTATCCGCGAGTTATTACCGATAAAACCTTTGCATTCTCGTACACAGAGTCCTTGTTTTGAATTCGGTTTTGTCTATTTCGAGTCCGGGTTTTCAGGAGACAAGTCCGGGTTTTGTTAAACACGAGTCCGGATTTTCTTCGAGTCCGGGTCCGGGTTTTTCTCGAGTCCGGATTTTCTTCGAGTCCGAGTCCGGGTCCGAGTCCGGGTTTCGAAGTATGCCTTATATCACCTCCAGCTCCGGGGAAAAAAAACTCCGGCTCCGGCAATAAATTTCCAGCTTCGGCAAATTCGTGAAAATTCGAAATTTAATGGGAATTTCACATTTCAAAGTGGAAGCACTATCTTTATTTTTTATTTTAACACTTCGCATGAACATTCTTCGCACTATGCACACAGTACATGATGCATGCATGGTATTGGTTGCGCAAGACAAGAAGCAGTCGCTCACAAACGCAAAGTCTATGTGGTTAGAACTTTTTATAATTAAACTTAATAAAGGCAAGTTACAACTTTACTGTTCCTAATCCGTTAGGGTTTCTTTTCTGCACAAATGGAATACCAAAGTCATTATTCCGTCAGGCATTTTACTGTACAGTATACGGAATAGCGGATTAGCGTAAATTTCCATCCCTGGGTAGTCATGCATAGAATACTAAATTTACATGTTTGTGGCAAGCCTATACGCAGTATCAATGCGAGTATTTACTTTTTCGTCGATGGATTCAGGTTTTTTCGCTGGTGTCCAACAGTAGTTTGCAGCACAAATAAGCGCTGCCGGAGTTCAGGCCTTAAAATATCTTTTACAGGGCCGTCTGACAAAATGTCCTATGATTTTGAGTTGGACATATATGTATAATGATGTCCGATGACCTTCAGTTCAGTTTGTCTCAGAAATAAGTCTGAATAACACAAATTAATATCAGCACAATGTATTAACTCTGAACGGCAAATGTTGTGAAGATATTAAATAATTTGTGTCATTTACATGCACTTATTTCCAAGCCAAAATTAATTTATTTGCCAAGAACAGCAGTAAGAGTTCGACAACTTAACCCCGTTTTCCTCTTCACCATTCGCTCGCCGCCACGCCCTCGATTACATTAAAACAACATTTCCAGTTCAGTTTTTATATATTACTCTGATTCTCCATTCTGTATTACGAGCCTCTA